CCCCCCCCTAAAACAACAACCCCCAACAAACAAAGAAAAAACAGGTAACAATAAAAATCTCGCCACACATACGTACTGATTAAAAACTACCCCACACTTTTGAACACTTACATTAAAAACTACCCAAAACTTTTGTATACGTTAAAAATACCCAAAACATATGTATAAAAGTACCCAACACATATGAAAAAACTACCCAACACTTTCACAAAACTACCAAACACTTCAGTAAAAACTAGCATAAAATCTACCCGAAACTTCCCAAAAATCCACCCAACACATTATGTTCAATATCCAAAACATAAGTTAAAATCTACCCGACACTTTCCTCAAATCTACCCAACATATATTATGTTCAATATCCAAAACAAAAGTTAAAATCTACCCAACACTTTCCTCAAATCTACCCAACACACATTATGTTAAAAACTCAAAACAAAAGTTAAAATCTACCCAACACTTTCCTCAAATCTACCCAACACATATTATGTTCAATATCCAAAACGAAAGTTAAAATCAACCCAACACTTTCCAAAATCCACCCAACACTTACATAAAACTGTGGCGGCCGCCTGTCTCCGTGCACAGACGTCTGCATGTCGTATTCCGCCAGCGGGTTCACGTCAATGTTCATGCAGCCGTGCCGCGGGTGGCCGCCCGAGTCCTGCGGTGGGCCGTGTCCGTTGGCCATATGTGGCCCTCCGTTGATGGGAGGGTAGAGGCCGCCGTTGGGTTTGGAGTGGCCCGAGGCGTCGGCGTAGATACACTGGGACTGGTCCTGGAACTTCTGTGGGTTGCTGGCTAGGTCTGTGGGTGAAGACGGTGAGGAAAGACATATTATTTGTGTGCAAAGATAAAGTTAAAGGATAATTTTCAGTGCTTCTAGAAAAGATAAAGGTTTGTTGATTCGGTCGTTTCCAGTAAAGATATAGTTATAATGGTAGAGTTTCTAAAAAAGATCAAAGGAGTTCATTTGATCGTTCCTAGAAAGAAAAAGGGTTTATTCTATTTATCTTTAGAAAACATAAACGGTCTAGATCTATATCATTTTTTTTTACTTTGACTGTTTCTAGAAATGATAAAGGGTTTATTTAATATATATATGTTTCTAGAAAAGATAGAGGGTTTATTGAAATTAAATTGCGAAGGTGGCACATCCCTGAATTCATATATAATAATTATGGATATTATTAGTCCCCATTAACACAATTAAGATCATTAACAACTTTTTGGATCCTGTGGAAAGATATGAGTAGGGATTTAAACCAAAACAAACAAACAAACAAACAAACAAAGAGACACACTCACTCCTCCTCTTCTGCGTTCCATAGGGCTTTAAACAAGAACAAAACAAGCTTACAAACAAACAGACAAACAAACAAAGAGACAAACTCACTCCTCCTCTTCTGCGTTCCATAGGGCTTTAAACAAGAACAAAACAAGCTTACAAACAAACAGACAAACAAACAAAGAGACAAACTCACTCCTCCTCTTCTGCGTTCCATAGGGCTTTAAACAAGAACAAAACAAGCTTACAAACAAACAGACAAACAAACAAAGAGACAAACTCACTCCTCCTCTTCTGCTGCTGCTGCTTCCACCAACACATCGCCATGAGGACACAAAACACACAAACAGACAAACATAGCGGCGCACTCACAAACAAACAAACAAAGAAACAAACAAAGAGGCACACTCACTCCTCCTCTTCTGCTGCTACTGCTTCCACCAGCACATCGCCATCAGCATACAAAACACACAAACAAACAAACACATAAACAGACAAACAAAGAGGCAAACTCACTCCTCCTCTTCTATGTAAAGTAGGGCTTAAAACAAAAAACAAACAAGCAAACAAAAAGACAAACACACAAACTCACTACTTCTCTTCTGTGTACAGTAAGGCTTTAAACAAAAACAATACACACAAAACACACAAACAAACAAAGAGATAAACTCACTCCTCCTCTTCTGCTGCTGCTGCTTCCACCAACACATCGCCATGAGGACACAAAACACACAAACAAACAAAGAGGCACACTCACTCCTCCTCTTCTGCTGCTGCTGCTTCCACCAGCACATCGCCATCAGCACGGCCAGAGCCAGCAGCAACGCCCCGAGAACGATGCCCAGGATGACCGGCTGCTCCAGCGTGTCGTTGCTGCGGCGGCCCGATGAGGGGGGTTCGTCTGTGCTGGCACCACCGTCGTAGCCGTCGTGAGGCGGTTCGGGCGGGAACTGGTTCGGAGGCATGCCCAGTTCGGGGTTGTAGCCACCTGCCATTGGGTCGTGGGGCATGTGGGGCTCGACTGGGAGAGGAAATCGAGAGGGTGAAAACATGCAGTTCAATAAAATGTTAGCGAAAGAAATGTCGACACACACGACACATTTGGAGATCATGAAATACATTATATAGACAAACAAATATAGTTCAAGAAAACAGCATAACCATTTAGAAACAGTTCACAATTCATTCATGAAAGACACATTGGCTTTCAGTGATAGGACGATGAATGATACATCAGCACGCAGATACAGTTCGTGGTTTGTGAAAGAAACATCAGCACGCAGATACAGTTCAGGGTTTGTTCATGAAAAATACACCGTCACGCAGAAACAATTTGGGGCTCTTAATTAACCTTACAGTATCGAAAGCTACATTAAATCCACCCAATAACCAATCATATATATCTAAAGGATAAACCACAGTCTGAAAAGGGGACAACTTCAGTATCAAAAGAGTCAACAATGTAAAGAAGTTCCAAAGTGTAAAGAACATAAGTAAAGGAAGGATTTAATGTGATATAAAGGGAGTCAACAATGGAAACAGGTAAATAAAGGGTTATCAAAGTAAAGAGATAAATAGAAAGTTAACAATGGAAACAGGTAAATAAAGGGTTATCAAAGTAAAGAGATAAATAGAAAGTTAACAATGGAAACAGGTAAATAAAGGGTTATCAAAGTAAAGAGATAAA